TTAGATGCTGAGTCTATTACCTTCATTATTACTGAGGCATACATAGTATCTGTAAAAAGGCACAAATGTGAACTAGAGACTGACTCTCAAAACCAGTAGGTTCAGTGAATACTGCAATCTATAAAATACTGTGGCAAAAATTAAAAATGCTGCAACCAACAGGAAAGAATTTAAGCCAAAATAAATGTGCTGGTTAAAAATCCAACTGCAAAAAATGGAAAAGGAAAGTATAATAGCAACAGATATAGATGTAAGGATTTTCTTGAGCCAAAACCATGTTTCTGTCAAATAACAGAACCTTAATGAAAGACTTAACAGTAATGAACTTTGCAGTAGTTTGAGCCACCAGCTTGATCTCTAGCTGTTTCAACACTTAAAATTTTCATTTATACCAAATGGATTTGCATAAGAAAACAATGTAAAAGTCAATACGAAGGTCCACATTCAATTCAAAACATTTGTATTAAAGTATAACTTTGTAAAGGAAAAAATAATGAAAGGGTGTCTTTTCTTAAATGTGTTTTTTCAGTGTAAACCATTTCTTTTTGCACAGTTCTTTAGCTTGGAAAATCAAAAATGATACTTTTTCTTTCAAATGTGAAGGAATATGCCAAGAAAACTTACCAAAAAAAAATTATCTGCTGCAGCCATTACAAGGGGTATTATGTTTCCAAATAAATAATTGAAGAACTTTTACTAGAATTTCAGAATTCAAAGGAAGAGACAGCGTACTCTGTGTTGCTCTCTGAATCATTCTCGCTGTTCTTCATATGCTTAGCTGTTTTCCTTAAAATGCTCATACACTTGAACTGAATTTTACATTTAGTGCAGTGAATACCTTTAAAATAATCTGCTAAATCCACCTCTCCAGTCCATAACAACTCAACTTATGCTACACCTTAAAATCTTTATTCTTTATAGGGAAAGGAGACTACTTTCACCACCATCAGTACAAAGTAGACAGAGTAAAATCTTATGATTCCAGAGTGTACTCTCAACAACTCCAAAGATTTTGTAACACTACAGACCATTCTCACACATCCTCACACCTGAATATTGGCTTACTATACAAAGCTTTACGGTCACACTTGTAGTGTGATTACCTACTGACATCAACAAAAATTTCAGAACAGCATTACAAATCACTGGGGTACTAAGAGTGATTGATGAGGCAAAAATAATGGTCTTTAAATACTTAACCAGTTTTTAATACAAGTAGTATTAATTAAACATCAAAAAAGAAGATGGCAGAGAAAGTATAACACAGGTTTGAACTTTGTAAATCATTACAGAGAAGCTACTGCAAATTGTAAGGCTGGCTACAGACTAGAACATAATTCAAACATGTTAAATTCTGCACTCAAACATTAAGGTGTTAATACATTAATAGCCTTCAACTAACAACTGCTCTTTCACCTTTCAGGACAATATAGTAACATTTATTTCCACTGCATCAACAGGTGCTCTATCATGTACCATAATACAGCAGGTAGCATCGAAGTCAACATAACTGGCCGACATGATGGAAAATAAACACTTCTGTTATTGCAACAAATGAAAGATCTATTTATATATTCATATCAAAAGTCCATCCAAGAAAAAAGAAAAGAAATAAGAAATAAGACACGGACATCTTAAGAATAATCTGAATTTTTAAAAAATATCTTTATGAATTTGGAGTAGTCAGAGTATAATTATTTCAACCACAACAGAGTAGCTCCAGTTCTACCTGCCTTTATAATGTTGGCATATGAGATGACATTCATATAGCTGATAACGTCAGAATACAAGGAGCTAAAGGCAGCAGGGGTAAAGGATCCACGCCTGCTACAGAACACTCTCTGTCATAACCCATTCCAAAGCCTGAGTCAAACCATTCTTCTGCCATCAACAAACACTACTGGAATAAAACGGTATTTCTTCTCCTGTGGCTACTCATCCAGACTTCACATCACCTTCCTACCACAGACAGGTAACCTGTCAGTTTGCATAGCAGCAGTCTGCGTAAGAAAGCTAAGGATTTCATCGGTACATTGCCCATCAAGAAGGATCTGCTGTTGTAAAAACCCAGACTACTACATACAAAAATACATCCATTTTAAAACCCCAAAACTAAGAAATTAAGATTTAAAAAATGTCAAAATAAAGGTAGACTGGGAAACTTTGATTCAGCTACCTTCTGTGTGTGTCTCTTTACATCACACAATCTATACATGCATGCAAAATAAATACATGTTTTCTGTCAGACTACTCATAGAATCATAGAAGTATCTAGATTGGAAGGGATCTTTAAGATCATCAAGTCCAACCATCAGCTTAACACTGCCAAAACCACCCCTAAACCATGTCCCTAAGCACCACATCTACCCGTTTTTTAAATATCTCCAGGGATGGCAACTCCACCACTTTCCTGGGCAGCCTGTTCCAATGCTTAACAACCCTTTCTGTGAAGACATTTTTCCTAATCTCCAAGATAAACCTCCTCTGGCACAACCTGAGGCCATTTCCTCTTGTCCTATCGCTTGTTACTAGCTAGAAGAGACCGACCCCCACCTCGCTACAACCTCCTTTCAGGTAGTTGTAGAGAGCAATAAGGTCTCCCCTCAGCCTCCTTTTCTCCAGGCTAAACAACCCCAGTTCCCTCAGCTGCTCCTCATAAGACTTGTTCTCCAGACCCCTCACCAGCTTCGTTGCCCTTCTCTCGACATGCTTAAGGACCTCAGTGTCTTCTTGTAGTGAAGTGGCCCAAAACCAAACAGTACTTGAGGTGGGGCCTCACCAGTACTGAGTACAGAGGGATGATCACTTCCCTAGTCCTGCTCACCACACTATTTCGGATACAGGCCAAGATGCCGTTGGTCATCTTGACCACCTGGCCACACTGCTGGTTCACATTCAGGCGGTTGTCAGCCAACACCCTCAGGTCCTTCTCCACCAGGCAGCTTTCCAGCCACTCTTCCAAGCCCTTAGCGTTGCATGGGGTTGTTGTGACCCAAGTGCAGGACCCATCACTTGGCCTTGTTGAACCTCATGCCACTGGCCTCAGCCCATGAATCATTCAGTACCCAGGGTGAGCAATGCTCCAGGAGGCAGTTGAGGAGCACTGATGATTTATTCACAGTATACCAACTGTGTTTAGAGAAGGTGGAAGATGTTTAGGGAATGCGATACAGAATTGCAGTACGAAGGAGTATGCTGTCATGTGTTAAAACATTGCTCTTTAAAAACAAAAGAAGAGTCTGTTCCTATCACTGTTACTTATGTAAGTCATACACCACCTTCCAACCTTCAAGACATGTCATTTCGCCAGAGGCTGAGCAGAGGCATAAGAATGCCCTGCGGCTGAAGCTACTGAACGTACTGGGTATGCACATGTCCTGAAATTCTTCACCAATTTCAAATTGTTCCTGGAAAAGACAACAATTTGGAGTTTTGGCAGGAGCAAACAGCATAGTTCATGTTGGACGTTCTCAGCCTCCTTTTTTCCACACGGTCTTTCAGAAGCAAATCACAACTATCCCGCAGTCCATGTGAACCATTGCTGCATCCTGCTTCTCAATGTCATCATTCCTAAAAAGGCGCTAGCCAACCCTCTTACACCTGACAGGAAACCTTCCCATCAAGTGAGAAGAGAAGGCCTTGATGAAAGACAGCAGCTGAGAGAATGGCTGCTACCATGAACACAGGAAGAAACTGAAAATTTCTGTCGTCTTTTGAGAAAGTTAGGAGTGGTTCATTACTCCAACAGCAAGCAATCTACAGAAGGTAAACAGATCATAGAATACTGACCTCAGACTACAACTAAAAATTTCAGTTAGATTATAGTTGTGCTTGCCTTTATTTTCATGGTTCTTAGCTCGAGACATCTTACTGGAGAAACACCGAAGATTCACACTTGCAATTGCGATCTAGCAATAGTTGAAGACAGTTCTCACAATAAGATGAAGAGAAGGTAATGGGATCTACACTGACACTTTTATATCAACACATTAGTTGCTAAACATTAAGTAGCTGTTCTCCTTTCCAAATATTTAAAAGTAAAAAGCTGAGTAAGGAGGCAGACATGCAGTTTAAAGGAAAGATGGGTGCTGGTAACAGCTAACTGAAACCTTATCTGCAGTAGAAGTTCAGATGCTTTGTTCTGACAGTAATGATACACAGAGAGAACACAGATCTCTCACTGCGTTCTGTGAATATAGTAACATTGACATTATGATGGGCTTCCACAGTAACTGCTTGAAAGAATGACTGTCCACCTGCTGTGAAAACCACTCATTTCAAATTATTCAATGTTGGTAGTTTGTCTCAAGTTTGTTTGTTCATTTTTTTGGTTTGGGTTTTTTTTTTTTTCTCCCTAGCAAAGAAAGAATTACCTTTTTCCAATGCTCATCTCACACTTTGCAGTCCTACTTTCTAAAGTATCTGGTCAAATTAGAGTTTATTGTAAACAAGGAAGCAAAATAATCATCAAAACCTTCAGTTCATGTCATCAGTACTTGCTTTCACCCCCTATTAAGAAATCGTATATTTAGTTTGCTTTTCTACTTCTACTATTAAGACCAGTGGTACAACTGGACTGCTTACTAAAAAAACCAACACTTAAATAGCATGAAATTCCATCTACTCTTATCAAAGGAGTTTATCTGGAATTATTTACATTTATTCCCCAAACTAATACCCTGGATATGGTCAAGAGTTTGCTACTTATCATATTGTCTAAAAAGCCAGAACCTCTGCATTGCATACACTCTTCTACAACAACCCAAATCCTGTGAGGTCTTTTAGAGTGACAGATGTGTATTTACTACCTGGTAAAACGGCATGTAAAACAACAGTATGTCTAACATGACCTTTCAAGGATCTAATCCAATCAGGTTTAGACACAGCGGACTTTCAAACTCTTGGAGAGAAGGAGGGCAGGAAAGTCAAAACAGTTACTAAGAACATTTCAATAATTCATGCTCTCTCACAAATACTGTCAACTTAGACATTCATTTTACCTTGAGAAGGTATGTAGGAATATTGCTGAAATCTACAGGCAACTTTAAGAGGAAGCGAGCTGAGAATTCTCCAGTCTGTGGGGAAAAAAAAAAAAAGGTAACACTAATGAGACCTGGTGTCTAAAACAGAACCACAAATTGAACACTCTGAGGATGAAATATTAACCAGAAAAATGTGTAAGAGCTCATACCAAACAGAAGGGTTGAGATTTAAATCAACATTTCTCAATGGAATTACTGAAGAGGAAAAAAATAACTTACATATTTCACAGATGTTACATGACAAAACACTTTAGAACCATAAAACATCATTGCCAGTAAGTCAGCAGCAAAAAGTAGTCAGAATACAACAATGTGCATGACAAAAATCAGACCATACTTTGTTAGGCCCTAATTATAGATCTATCTTGGCTGTACTCATTTCCGGACAAAGGTCTGGTGAGACCTGCAAATGGTCTGAAAGTAAAGCTAAAAACTTGACAACTTTATGAAAGCATATAGATAAAATAGAGGCATCTTCACAAACATTGCAGGTATACATAAAAGAATTTGTGTTGAGTAAGGTGAGAACGTATCAAAAGTGTCCTCTGAATAAACAAAGATGAAAGAACTGAAGTAGAAGGTTTGATATAATTTGTTTTCAGAATTATGTGACTCTTAACACCTAGACAACTGTTTACTGAAAATTTGCCAAGTGTCCCCTACACATTGCTTTTTTTATGTATAAAGTGTATGCAAAGGAAATGGAAAGGATTTCCTTTCTGTTTCATGCACTTCCTTAAAACCAGACTCTGTCCACCTGGTTATGAAGCAATGAAGTTGGCTCCTTTTGAAAAACAAATGCCTGCCTGATTTAATCTATATTAATTCATTGTAATCTCTATTTTTTAATTAAACGAAGTAGCCATACAGCAGCTATATTTGTCGTGTTGAATTGGCAGCACAAAAAGCATTAAACATCAATTTTACGCAGTTAAGTACAAAATATTAGGATATCTTGAAACAAGGTAACAAAACTTTTTTCAGTTTTAACACTGCCCTATTTTTGCATACGTCCACTACTTACTTATGTGATGACATACAATTTTTAAAAAATGGTATTTCATTTTAACAGGAAAGGGCACAAAGCAAAGCTATATGAATATTCATTCTCCCACAGTAACACATATGTACTACTTCACTATTTCCTGAGCATAGTTCTCTGTACCGAATTTTCATTTTAATATTTTAAATGTTTTGCATAGCCAGACAAGGCAAGAAGAAAAATACTTCAAACAAGAAGTGTACAATATACAAATTTTAACAGAGTGCGCATGCATCTATGGTGAATGTGCATATTGCAATTCTCATTAAAAGGGTGATGGTAAATACTGTACTAGATTTAAACAGGATCATCTTTATTGTGTGTACAGCTATACCCTGTGGTAAGCAAAAGCTTGTAATACATCTGAAATAATGGAAGCATCCTTTCTATAAAATGCAGCAGTGACCCATGGAAGAGCTGTAGAGAATCTTGACAGTGAACAGGTTGCCTGGGACCATGTCCAGATGGTGTCTGATGTCTCTAAGGATGGAGATCCCACAATCTCTCTGGGTAAGCTGTGCCAGTGCTCAGATCCCTCAATACTCAAGGGCTTATAAACCACACGGAAGGATACTTTTTGGGCCACTGCTTTACTACATTTAGTAGATGTTATCACAAGAACTCCACGCAGCTATGGGGACAGCTTGCCAAAGGCTACAGCTCTTCAAGAGGAAAGCGTTCACAGGCACCTACACTGATACTGAAAATTTGCCATATGCCTTAGCAAAATAGTTAGTACTTTTGCCTCCCCTCTCAATTAGCTGTGCAAATCCATAAATTACTTTGATCTCAGCATGAGAGAAAACATGAAAGTTGTCACTGACCATATAACACCACACCACAAGCCTCCGTAACGATGGAACCCATCAATTGCTATGCATACTGATTGGTTGAACAAAATACTGAAGGAAACCAGCTTGCTGATGCACAAGTCCCTTTGAGAAAGTACTGGAGGTCAAAGCCGATGGAAACTGGCTTTCCAAAATGAATGGTAAGTTGCTAAACAGGGCAGCTGAGGAATATAAGTGTTTGTTTGCTATGCACATTATTTTCTGTGGTACTGACATGAATTAAAACCGAGAAGGAGAAAATCTACAAAACTGGATTCCTTCAATTATTTTATGCCTAAATTAAGCAAACATTTCGCCCCAAGCAACTAAGCACATATAGAAAAAGATGGTGTATTCGGCAGATGGACAATAAGCAACACTAGTATCAGTACTGATTTGTTTCTTGGTCTATGTATCAGGCATGAACTATAGATAACTCACTTCACCTTCTAGTCACTAAACAAGATATTGAATGCAACCAAAATCTTTCCAATGGTACCTTGCCAGTTACACCATTTGCCAAAAGGCTTTGTGTGATGTTAGGTTGTAACCCACCCTACTGCCAGCTGGCTCAGAATTGCCCTTAAAATTTGTCCCTGGTAGTCACACAAAGCAATTGCAAAGTGTGCAAAGCAATTGCACACAGAAACACTATGCAACAAAGAGTGAGCATATATTAAGTTAAAGCCAGACTCTGAAACTGTTCCTGATGACACTACTTGTGAGGATAGATGCCAACTTTCTGATGCTGTATTACTTATGCATGCAGAAAAATCACCGGCTCCTTGTGCACGTATAACACAAAGAGTACTCTGATGACAGCCAGAGCACTCGCTTTTTATTCAGAGTGAAATGAATATGTCTGGACTTAACTTCCAAAAAATGCCATACAACACTTGCCATAAAATCCAGAAAATTTCAGCCAAGTCGGCCTCAACGAAGACATGGCTGAAATGCCTCTATGCAAATGCAAGTAGCATGAGGAACAAACAGGAGGAGCTAGAGATGTGTGCACGCCTCCAAGACTACAATCTCAGTGGCATTGTAGAAACTTGGTGGGATGACTCCTACGACTGGAGTGTTGGCATGGAAGGCTACAGGCTCTTCAGGAGAGATAGGCAAGGGAAACAAGGAGGCGGTGCTGCCATATATGTCAATGAGCTGCTGGAATGCATGGAGCTCAGCCTAGGGATGGATAAAGAGCCAACTAAGAGCCTACGGGTCAGGATTAAAGGGAAATCAGGAGCAGAGGACATTACAGTGGGAGTCTGCTACAGGCCACCCAACCAAGAAGACCGAGTGGATGAAGCCCTCTATAGACAGATAGGGTTGGCATCATGTTCACAGACCCTGGTCCTCATGAGCGACTTCAGCCACCCCGACATCTGTTGGAAGGGTAACACAGCCAGGCATAGGCAATCCAGGAGGTTCTTGGATTGCATTGATGACAACTTCCTTCTCCGAGTGGTTGAGGAGCCAATGAGGAGAGGAGCTATGCTGGACCTTGTTCCTACCAACAAGGAGGGACTGGCAGACAGTGTCAAACTCAAGGGTAGCTGGGCTGTAAAGACCATGAAATGGTCAAGTTCGACATCCTCGAGGCAGCGAGGAAAGTGCGCAGCAGGCTGACCACCCTGGACTTTGGGAGAGCTGACTTTGGCCTCTTAAAGAATCTGCTTGGTATGGTGCCACAGGATGAAGCACCGTGGGAAAGAGGGGACCAAGAAAGTTGGTTAATATTCAAGGACCACCTCCTCCAAGCTCAGGAGCAGTGCATCCCTACAAAGAGGATGGCAGGCAGAAAAGCCAGGAGACCTGCATGGATGAACAAGGAGCTCCTGGACATGATCAAAACCAAAAAGGAGGCCTATAGGGAGTGGAAACAGGGGCGGGTAGCCTGGGAGGAATACAGAGGAATCGTTTGAGCAGCCAGGGATCGGGTTAGACAAGCTAAAGCCCAGATAAAACTAAATCTGGCCAGGGACACTAAGACAAACAAAAAGTCCTTCTTTAAGTATGTCAGTGAGAAAAGAAAGACTAGGGAAGAGGTGGGCCCTCTCCGGAAGGAAACGCAAGAAATGGTTACCCGGGACAGAGACAAAGCTGAGGTACTCAATGCCATTTCTGCCTCGCTCTTCACTGGCAAGGACTGCAGCCCCCCTGCCCATGACGCAGAATGCAAAGGTGAGGATTGGGAAAATGAAGAACTGCCCACTGTAGGTGAAGATCAAGTGCGAGACCACCTGAAGAACCTGAAGGTGCACAAGTCCATAGGACCTGATGAGATACATCCACAGGTCCTGAGGGAACTGGCAGATGAAGTCGCTAAGCCACTAGCCATCATATTTGAGAAGTC